CCGCTCGGGGCCATATGTTCTACTCTACTCATCTACTAACAGATTTTTTTAATTGCTCATCAAATACCACCCGTCAAGAACAAGTTTGTCACTAAATAAATCACAGTCATTTAAATGTGTCACAGGCAGGCTTGTTACTCTTCAAATTTGGGATTAAATTCAGGATGACTGTCAGACATGTGTTTGTCCATAGTAAATGAGTTCCTTCTTCTGGCCTGAGTTGCAAGCTATGCTTTATTGTGTCTGTCGGATATGTATGCAAAATACTTCCAAGATCCTTATTCTACTGGCTGTGGATAACGGATGCCCAGCTGGAGAGCGAGAACTTTTACTCTCAGTCTTCCCTGACACTTGGGGGAGGGAGAAAAGCGCAGCTCACTGAGTGCTGTGGCTTTTAAACTACCACTACCAAAAATATGCAGTATTGTTTCTCATTTGAAGGTGGGGTCTTGAGATGATTTTCTAGTGCATGCCCAATATACTTCACTTTCGATATTATTCAATGCATGGATAGAAGCTACACTGTTCGAACCCAACAAAAAGGGTTTGAAGCATTCAACAAAATAACCACACACTGGATTTTTTCTCAGTACAAAAAATTACAATTAAGGATGTCACAAAATAAACCCTATATATTTATTTATTTATTTATTTATTTATTTATGATTAAGGAACTATGTCCTGCATCACCAAATCCACAAAGTTTTATTGAGCCTACTCATGTCGCAGTACAGGGCAGGAGACCAGCACAACTAAGCCATCTGATGGTGAATGGTAATATTACAACTTAAAACAAGAGTGAACTGCTGCACATTTGCAGTTTGGCACCAGCAGTCACATATTATGAGATTTTTTTTCCCAGTATTTATTTCAGAGTTATTTTCATCCCCATTTCCACAAGTTTTTTTGTGGGAAACATCTTCAATGTTTATCATTGTTTTTTTGAGGATTCTTTGAGGTTTGTAACAAACTAAAACAATGTTAAAAAACAGTTGCTAATAGTACTGTATATCCACTGTAAGCTAACATTTGATTCCCACAGTGGCGAACCCTAAGGGCCAGCAAGGCCTTCTCTGCTGGCCGAAACATTCTCAGAAAAGTAAATTTACTTTTATGAGAAAAACATTAATTTGTTATTTTATTTTCATAAATATGTAAACAAAATTATTCTCTGTATTCATATTATTTCCACTTAGTCGAGTGGCTTTCAATGTTATTTAAAATAACATTGAAAGCCACTCGATAAATAACTTTATTATGGTAGAGTTTTTAACCAATCATATTTCAGCTAGCTGTATTGCCAGGTAAATTACATTTGCTCGGGGCCTTCAGATTAAACAGAGCAGGCCCCTGTGCGC